TAAAATTAACATTGGCCTATCGCTTGTACTAATAAAGTGCCAAGGGCCTAAGTGGTCACCTTAATATTAAAAAAAAATAAAAATAAAAATAAATCTAAATATCTTTTTACTTAAAATTTTTTAGTAGTTTTTAAATAAATAATTGAAATTAATTTATTATTTAAATCTAAATTTATTTTTATTTTAATATCCTAAATAGTTATAAATAAGTATAATGATATTTTGAAGAATTATTAAATTTACATATACTTTTTTCATAATTTTTATTTCAAAACCAATAAAATTTTAAATCTATTTATAGTTAGATGCTTCTTTAATGATTCTTTTAAATTTATAAATAATTTTAACTTGTGAGTAGACTAATTCAACAATATTAGTAATATTATATTTAAAATTAATTATCTTAGCTTTATTTTCAATAGATTCATTATTGAGTTTAATATATAGAAGATGGATTACAGTACCAATTAAGCTTATACACAATTAATTAATCAATAGGCCTAGTACAGATATCTAATTTTTTTTGTTAAGATATTTATAAAATACAATACTATATGATATTTAGATAATCAACTAGATCAATATAGAATCCTAATTTTATAATTCAATATATAAAAACCCCCCTACTTTAGTTACTTCTTTTTATCAAAAAATATTATTATTATTATTATTTTTTTTATTATTGTTAATGTCATATATAGAAAAGTGAATAACTTTTACAGAGTATCACATGAATACATAATAGTTAAACAGATAGAATTTCTATAACATCAAGATTGACATAACATTACACTTCCAATTTCTATTTTAAAGCTAATTTAAGTTAGTAAACTACTATTAGCTAAAGAAAGGCTGGAAAAAAAAATATTATTAAATATGTAATAATTCTTTAGATTTTGCTAAATATTATTCAAGTTTAGTTTTATAATTAGAAGAGAACAACTCTACATTGATATGATTATTTTTGAATGTTTGATTATTTATATAACCAAATACTGTACTATATATTTAATAATCTGACCTCTAGAGACATTAAGGTTTTTGGGTTAGGTAAAACAATTGAAAAACATAGTGATTGCATAAAGTAGTGCATTACCCATAGTAGTGATGCCTGACAAAACCATGTGATACTAATTGTCACTTGGTACAATATATAAAAATTAACTATCTATTTTGATTTTTATATGTAATAGCATGTAATAATTAGCATCATGTGGTTTCATCAGGCATTACTAATCTATAGCATAATTCATTTCTAATTTATGCAGTTTGACTTTCATAAATGCACATTCTATAAATGGCTCTCTAAATACATGATACAGCTTTGTTTCAACTAATAATATCTATTTCTATAAATACACATCTTCTCTAGATGTGAGTAGTGCTCCAAATCGAAAACTGACTAATTAAATCTAATTGGCAACTAATCGATTGATAATTTTATCAGACAACTAATCAATTAACTAATTAATCGACTAGTTAGTTAATCGATTAGTTGACTAATTGACAAGTTGGTTTATATGATATCATACTCTGATCTTGTAATTAATAGCTACACAATTACATCCAAGCTATTTCAATATAAACTAATCAACTAGTCAATTAATCGATTAATTGACTAATTGATTAATTGATTGGATCAAGTTTAATATAAGGGACCCTATTCTAAATTCAATTGATTAATAATCAATTTTATTAGTAGGGTCCTTTGTACTAATTGGGATTAGTTGGCTATAATCGATTTTTAATTGATTTTTTAAAAAATTTTTGGCAAACTAATCATTTGCATTTTTTGGCCTGATTTGTAACACTAGGTGCAAGTTACTTAGGAAGCTCTATGGAGATCTAGTGCATGCACCTGGTTCGGTTAATTATGGATGAATTAGTAAAGTGGATGTTGTGTAAAATATACAAATGAAATTTATCATTTGCCCATTGATAAAAATTTGGCAATGGTAAATACCATTGCCAACTCTGCTTGATGAATAAAAATTTTGATGGTAATACTGGGGTAATTGGACTATAAAATTTTACTTAAACGGTAGAATCTGATTGTAGCGATTGTCAGAAATTTTAATCGAATAGAATTTAAAGTATGACCCAAATAAAAGCTTTATAATAACTGATAAATTATACAAAAATAAATATAAAAGTAATAAAAATAAAAAGTAATTTCTGAAGAAATAAGCTATGCTACGGATAATAACACTACACATAAGCCACTTCTATGAAATTTTTAAAGATCATGCTGGATTAATTGATCCATAGTCGGATTGATTAGATGTATCAATGTTAGAATGCCTTCTAAAAAGAAATCCCCAAATTGCCATAACCAAAAATATCACAATTGCCACAATTGCCACAATTGCCACAATTGCCTTAACCAATAATCTCAAAATTACCACAACCAAAACAAAAATTACAACAAAAATTATTTGATAGTAAAGATTTTCCCAAAAAGAATTATAACTAGATAATAATGACCATTTATAGATTGATGGGTTTGATATGTCCAATTTATAGATGCTCTGAATAAACTCATCATTTGTTACATTTACACCTTTAAAATTAAAAAACAATTAATAATAATAATTTTTTGCTTATTAAACAAAAAAGTGTAAAAATAATAAAATTATAATAATTATAATTACCAAATGCTACAATCATATAATTTTCAATTATGATTGATGTATGATAAGCTACAGGTCCAATAGAATTTATTGCTTTTGGTGCAGTCCATTCATAATTAGAAGTGTTTAAAATTGCCAAATACGGGTAGGCAGGATAATCCGGTATTTTATTGCTAGTTCCACCATATATAATAACGCGACCATCTTTGGCTAAAAAAAGTAAAAAAGAGGAGAACAAATTATGTTTTTTTAATATTAATAATTACATACTTTATTATGAAATATTTTGAATTTATTTATACTTTACTTAAAACAGCTGTATGAAAAGTACGTTCAGCAGGTATTTCACCTATCGTATTCTGTATTATTCAAACAAAATAATAATTAGTTGTTATTTAAGATAGCAAAAATAATAATTAGTAGTTATTTACGATAATATAATTAATAAAATACTGGTAAACTAAAAAATTCTTACAATTATTTCCCATGAGTCAGTAATGGTATCATATGTTAACAATTTCTCCATTAATTTTGTAGAACTATGCGATTCCGGCTTTCCACCAATATGTATAATTTTACCACTTGGTAGAAAAACTCGAGGAGGGCCAAAAACGGACTGATCAATATAATCCCAATATAGTATTGGAATTATTGTACTAACTGACCATTCAAAATCGATAGTATCAAATATATCTATAGCATAAGAAATACTTTGAAGCGAATAGGATTTTCCTTATTATCAGAAATCCATGAGGAGAAATCAAGAAAATAATCACTGGGCGTTCCTGCGAAATCAAATTTCATTCCCACTTATTTAATGTGGTATCAAATATGTCAATATATTTCGCATCATATTCACCACCTTCAAAAAAAGAGAAATATTTACTATCAAACTTTTTAGTAGTAAAATGATTTTTTACATCAAAGAAATTTCTGGTAGTAAAATGATTTTTTACGTCAAAGGGATTACTAGTAGTAAAGAAAAGTTTGTCATTTTCTATGCCACCTAAAAACGGAGAATAGGAGCAATTTGGATCTGGTGTGTATGGAAGATTAATCCATTTAGACGAATCAATAGTAGTATCACCATCTAATGTTACTCCTGTTAAATCAATATAAAAAAAATTGAGATATCCAGCATAATACAATTTGTTATTGATAAAAAACGCTTTGCAAGTGTTACATATATAAATAGCATCAACTAAATAAATATAACTTAAAAGAATAAATAAGTAAATCAATCTTTTCGATAAAATATGAGACATGGTTTATGGATATTATGTAAAGCAAGTTTAGGTGTTTTCAAGCGATGTATATACTTGACAAGAAAACCTAGAAAACCTAGAAAACGGAGACTATTGTATTTAAAGTCAAAAAATTTTTCATTACACATAGGATCGTTAAAGACTTTAAACAAAATTGTAGCTGCCCGATATCATTCAAAATTGCTTTTTTAGAATAAATATATTTAAAGTTATATAATCAAAGTTGATAGTACAGCAGGAAATCTAAAATTCTCAATCATTCTATATAGAATAAAAGAACTAAATCATTCTAAATTTCTCATGGTTAGAGATGGCCAACGCGTATTAATGCATATTCATGTGAAAGATACTGTATGAATTTGTCAGCATGTAATCCAAAGTATACCAAAAAAGTAATAATTTCTGGTTAAAAATGATAAAATAGTTCATAGAGCGATAGTGGCTTTATCATACAGAAAACTAGCTTCTTTTGATGTCTTGATAGGTTCTCATTCCATTTTGTTATGCATATTTATATCAATTCATGTGTATTCACGCGTATCATTCTAAAAAAAATCCATATTCATCCTATCTCTATCATAAACTTTGTCTGTTCTACCTATTTGAAAATGTCTGTGAGAAATTTATTTGCAATCTTCTACTATTTCACGTATGATCTCTATTAGCGTTGCCCATTTTTTCTTAAATTATACCACAATACTTAGTTTGGGTTGAGAATCGGAATTTCTACTTAATTTAGGTTCATAACCAAAACTAAATACATATCACATTTCGGAAAAATAGTGATCACTTCGACAATTATCAAATAATTATTAAACTTTAAATTATTCAAAAATGATTTTAATTGGGTATATTTAGGTTCAAAGATTGATAATCTCTTAAAAGTAGAATTTAATTCAAGATAAAGAATAGACGAATCACTTCAGATATAATATAGAAGACATACAACCGCTTATACCATATAAAGTAATGCTTACTAAGATCACCAAATTTAAGATATTTATCTGTTGTGTCGTGGATGATAGATCAAATCATAAAATAATGTATAAGGATTTAAATCCTAAATTATACAGTATCACTATTCAAGTAAAATAATGAATATCATGTATTATATGAAAACATAATTAATATCTTAGAACCTTTTCTCTACCTTGGCCAATAACGCACCTACATATCAATTCTTTTGTAACAGATATAATTTTATATTGCCATTGTCCTAATTATTTCCACCTGCAGACTTTAAACATCTTTTTTGTAACTATTGGTATGTTTCTCTTTCTTGACTTAAGGTGTTCTCAAGCACCTCAATCAAGTGATCGGAGGCAAAATTTTAATTAGTCGGAAATTAAATAAATGAACAAATGTCGCAGCTGATGCTGAAAACGGCTGATGATGAAATTTTGGGGTCTCTATTTAGAACTATAAGACCTATTAAAACC